ATAAAAATTTCAATAACATTTACAGTTTAAGATTAATATAACATTGATTATCATTGCTGCATACTATTCATTGGTAGTTCATTAAAACAACAAAGTATTTACTTATAAAAATATTTAATATTAATCTATCCGAAAGTTAGCTTTATAAATTAATAGTTATTTAAAATTAATAATTTAATCAATGTTACAATTTGCATACGAAAACATTTATTTTTGTAAAACAATAACAGTAATTTGTAAATTTATCATGGTTAATTATTTCTATAGACCCCTATATATAAAGGGCCCAAAAAGAACTCATACATAACTGCTGGACGATTGAAAAAGGCTGTCACACAGTAGGCCTTCTCGCACACGACTGTCACGTAGTCTCTGGCGATGGTATCCCTTATAAGGGACGCCATTTCGGCGTAACAGTTGTTCATCAACTCCCGGCCCATATCCCGTTCCCGTACTTTAAGACATGCTTGCTCATTAAAGTTAACAGTGTGGTTCATAAACAAGTCGATAATTTGTGAAATGTTCCTGGTCACAATAGTCTCGTTGATGTTGTAGTATTTAATTTGTTCGGGTTTCGAGTTTCGCGCTTGTTTAATTGTGTTTAAAATGTGCGTGCTCTTTTTTAAATATTTATATTTTTATTAATATTTTACATATTGATATTTACTAGAGCTACTTACTACGTTATATTCAGCCTGATGATTATGTTTACTTGTTGAATTATGTTCATTGTGCAATACATTGTCGTATTTAAATATAAATAGACTGGAACGTACGAGGTTTGAAAAATAATTAACAAATGAGATAAACTTTTATTAGTTGTAATTATTTTATTAATAGTACCATTAATATAATATAATGGAGCAGTAAAATTAAGTTTAATTGATACAAAGTAACTTTAATGTGTTTAATTTGCAACCGAATAAACGACTTAATTCTGTTAATGTCAATATATAGCCCATATTCGGATTTATCATTAATTATATGACATAGCCAGGTGCTGCCATATTTGCCATCCATTTCCCTAACCAATGATTTAGCCAATGACCAGGGCATATCCATGGTCATGTACTGTTTGTATACAAGTAGCGAGATACTTTTGATATCACTCTCACTGATACGTCTAGATATGACTTGAATGTCACCGATTGATGACAACACAGTTTGCATAGAAATCATTAATAATAATAATTTAAGCACCATTATCAAGGTAAATCAATTATAAGTTTATGATATTTTGTATGATAATTTTTAAATAATTTCCA